TGACTCTCCAAATCTTAATTAATGTTAATGAGTAAGCAGGATGGATTATGTACAATTCTCACTATTCTGCAAATTCAGGCATTCCAATTTCCATTTCAAAATTCCATTTTTGTTGCAGTCAATCAAAAATAACCAGTTGGTACCTTATATATTTTTGACTGTCGGCAGCAAAAAACAAAAACAATTCATAACAATATGCAGAATATTGACTCGATTTGTAATAAAATAACATTAGACCATTAAATGGTTAATAAATTTATCAATAGGAAGTTTGCATGATGGCGTCATTTGACTCCCACTACCATAATGCTTCGCGAATTTTCTTTCTTATTCAAATTTGTATTTCCCTATGAGAATAGTAAGACAATTGGTGCTAATTAACTGAATAAAAGAAAGTGTGCAAGGGAGTCTGGTAGAGGTCAATGACGCCATCATGCAAACGTCCTATTTTATATACTAAAAGATCATATTAATATTTTAAAATAAATAAATAAACAAACAAGCAAACAAACAAATACATATAGGAAGGTAGGTAGATAGGTAGGTAGGTAGGTGGGTAGGTGGGTAGGTGGGTAGGTAGGTAGGTGGGTAGGAGGGTAGGTAGGTAGGTGGGTAGGTGAGTAGGAGGGTAGGTGGGTAGATGGGTAAGTAGGTATCATAGGTAGGTGGGTAGTTGGGTAGGAGAGTAGGTGGATAGGTGGGTAGGAGGGAAGGTGGGTAGGTGGGTGGGTGGCTTTGATTGGCAGTTGTTGAAATACTAGTCAACAAACAATAATACTACATAAGACATCAAACGACCTCAAACTTCGTAGGTTGAACTACAGTATACTACAGTGTTATGGTATTAAAATTTTTGAGTTTAAGGCATCTGAAAGAAGAGAGAAAAGTAAAGGATACTCTTTCCAGCAGGAAACATGGCTTATTGGAACAAACCMCACATAGCCCATTAACGTGAATCCAAAAAGATGTAAGGGCATTTTCTGATTGATGATCTAGGATATATATTTTAGTATCTGAGACTATTAAAGTCCCTCTTTTAACTCCTAACTCAGTCACCCTCTGTCTTGTACACACAGGTAGTGAAAACACTTGACTCAAAACACTGGTGAAAAGACTTTTGGAAAGAAAAGAGGGACTGTTAACAGTCTAAGCTAGGATATAATTATAAATGCCTTTAGTAGCAAACCTGTTTAGCTTCTTGTTCACCATTTTTTGCAGCTTTTCCTAACCATCGCTTTGCTTTGTCCAAGTCCTTTGGATGTCCAGACTCACCAGTCAGGTAAGCAAGACCAAGGTCTTTCTGAGCTTCAGGGTCACCAAGCTCAGCAGCCTTCTTCAGGTAATACAGTGCTTTTACTGGCTGAGGTTCTCCTTCAGGACAGTCACCATCCAAGTAATTTTGATAAAGCATTTTCAAGGCTTTAAACTTTGAACCTACATGCATTTGTCTCAGCATTCCTGTTAAAAGCCCTGTGAGCCTGAGAAAAGGGCTGTCTTCTTGCTCGTCGTTGTGTGGTTCTTCTCCAGCTGCACGTCTGTACCACTTGAAAGCTTCTTCTATATCCCTTTGAACAACCCCTTCTGTACCACATCTATATGACTCTGCTAAATTTAACTGAGCTAATGTGTCGTCAAGTCGAGCAGCTTGTAGGAAAAGTTCAAATGCTCTACGCTGATGGGGAACCGTTTCTTTTCGAAAATGTATAGTAGCAAGGGTATTTAAATTCATAAAACGACATTCCCAATCCCCATTTTTTATAGCAGTTTCATACCAATGAATTGCAGTGTCGGAATCTTTCTCGATGTTCAGCTCTGGTACACCATCTTTATAAATCGAAGCCAAATCAACCTGTGTTTGCCAGTCCTCACTAAGTTTCGCTTTTTCTTTCAGGATTTCGACTGAACCGTACTTGGATAAAATTTGCTCTTTCAAATTAAAGTTCATGTCCAAGTCACGACCAGTAAACGAATTCAAAGTCTTTTTACCGAATTCTGAAATTCCTGTCTCCTCATAACGAAATGCCATGTCAATTGGAGTTACAAATAAAAAAGACTTACAGGTTTAATACTTCTCTACTAGTAGTAGTTAGCCATTGCCGTTTCTAAGATCATAGTTTATAGAGGGAGATTATTAACTATGCTAACATGCATGAAGGGGCATAAATGATGTATTTCGAACTTCTTGGAATTCTGAAACACACTCGTTTCCTTTGCCATGAAGATACTTCATTTGAAATTTMACTAGYATATGCACTCATATAATTCTTCACAACATATAAGAAAAAGATTACCCCACGAAGTATCTASGTYTCTYGTTTCCAGTCTAGCGCGGCTTAGTTTCTTGGAAAACAGCAGGGTCCTGTGTTTTCTCARAACATATTTTCTCTGAAGTCTTGCTAGTTGAATGATGAAAGCTTTACGAAACAAGAATACAGGTAAGAGATAAAAGATAGATGGATAATGATGGCCTATTACAAGATTTAGGTTTGTGAAGAGGACAACAACAACTTACTACTTTAGTCTAGCTCGCAGCAGATTCATAAATACGGAGACAGCTGATAACCCAGACGTGAGTTAGAGCGAACGACAACTACTTGATGCTTTATTTTCTTAGAGGTCTTCTGATCAGCAGTAGCTTTAGTTATAAAAACAATAAATACAAATATGATGGAACAATTATTACACACCCCCATGTGTACTTGTTTGAATGTAATAAACTTTAAAATATCAAAATATGGCAATTCCATTGAGACACAAATGGTCTCTTGTGTACTGTATTTGTCTTCGTGTGACTATAAAATGATCTGGTTGAGTGATTTTGTCAAGATCAACTTTGTTTTTATTTCATGGTTTTACTGCATGTGCTCTATAACAACTTTTAATAACTTAACAGTTATTTTGATAACTTAATACAAGTTAACAGTCGTATTACACTTAGTTAATTTAAAAAATCTTATATATTATATTTTTTCATTCAATTTCTTCTCCTTTTTTCTTTTGGATTTTTATTTAATAATGATGATAATAATGGGGTTCTTATATAGCGCATTATCACATTGTCTCAATGCGCTTTACATTGCAGTGGAGGACTTTACTGGCTGCATATTAAGGTGCTATTAGCAACCGTGCAGCTTACAATCATGAGTGAATTTGTTAGTATGTTAGTGTTATGCCAAATTGGGATAGGCTGTTGAACCGGGAGACAATCCCCTACTCTTACACGAATAATTCAACAGGTTCTTTTATGTCCCCCATTTACTGTAGGTTAGGAAGGGTTGGGAGACAGGGCCAGTTGAATCTTGAATCTTGAATCTTTTTTTAATTGGGTTCTTACAGAAATGTGTTAGAAGGTCAACAAACAAACAATGGCAGGGACTGGATCAGCAAGCAAAAAAGTTTTTCTCCCTTCAACACTTACTCCTCCAACTCCTACACCTAAGACCATTCCTAAACCAGCAGGAGCACCAGGTTAGTGACATCAATGCAAACAGCTACACCTTAGTGGTAATATTGCTTATATAATTATATATTGCATTATATTGCATTATGCATAAACTTTGAACCTCTATAATATATGTACAAGTATATCAAAAATTATGGGATATCCTTCCTGATATTTTTTTTCAGAAAGCCCTAGTGATAGACAACTTGAATAAAAATATCTGGGATGATATCCCATAATTTTTGATATACTTTTGATATACTTGTATATATATGCACAAACTGGTCAAAGTTCAAAGTTTATGCAAACAGCATTATTTATATATTTATTTCGGGCTTTTCATTCATTTATTATTTCTACATACCCACCTACCTACCCACCCACCTACCTACCTACTCCCCCACCTACCTACCCACCCACCCACTCACCTACCCACTCACACACCTACCCACCCACACACCTATCCATCCACTTACCTACCCACCTACCTACCT